AACCAAACACCTTAGCGACTAATACCGACAGCCTATATATATATATATATATATATATATATATATATATATATATATATATATATATAGATAGATAGATCTGCTCGAAAAATGACGACGTCCGGTTGTAGCAATTTTGAACAAAGCACTACAACACGCAGTGCAAGTGCTCTTGCTGAAATCGGTAACAACAAGCAGGCTACTTGCGCACTGGCAAAAAATACATAAAAAACCACACTCGGAATAGGGCTGACATTTAAGCGGTGCCTGAGAGTCCCGCACGTATAGTCGTTTGCCTGCGGTGACAACTGGTCCATGGTAATGACAAATTGCAATGACTGGGTCGATATCTTATGAAATGGCACTGTCAAGTTTCGGTCTTTTTCGTCTGGCATTAGGTGTCAGTGTTTTAAGTACGGTTTCAACTAAAAAGGTTATCCGAAATGGCAGTGGCGTGTCGATATGACACGAAGTCATACTGACAGAGGCTCGAGTCATTTCATACGGTAAGAAGGATTTGACGTCGGAAAAAAGACTCTTTTCCGGTTTAAAATGGCATTCGCGCAGAGTCGTGCGCGTGATTTCACACTGGTTATATCAACTGACACCGGAGCCAAAGAACTAGAAGTGAGGGACTTTTAGATATCGCTCACACCACTTATTTTCAAGCCTTAGATGTTGCCAGTGTCGTGATGGAATTACCAAAAATCAACTAATGATATAGAAAAAGATCGCTTGCCAAAAATAAACAAAAACATATTAGGTTCCGCCAAAGGACTATTTATTCAAAGCAAACGTATTGTCGTGCGCTTCGTTGCCGATGACAACATATGCACCGATGTAGGTTACAACGAATTTTATCCGGTGTGCTCCTGGTGGTCCATCGTTCTATTCATTCAGTTATTCAGGATATAAAGCAATTGAGGCAGTTGCGAATTATTGCATGAAGGATCGTGAGCTGGTCCAACCCATCCGTTTTCCCCCTTTTGTTGCTGCCATTCTCTTCGTCCTCCTCCTCTGCCTCTTCTTCCTCCCCTCTCTTTCATTCTCTCTCTCCGTCCCCCCTCTCTCTCTTTCTCTCTCTCTCCTGCTTTCGCTCTCTTTCTCACGCACTCCCTCACTTACCCTCTCTCTTTAACACTCGCTCACCTCTCTCTCTCCCTCTCTCTCTCCCTCTCTCTCTCTCTCTCTCTCTCTCTCTCTCTCTCTCTCTCTCTCTCTCTCTCTCTCTCTCTCTCTCTCTCTCTCTCTCTCTCTCTCTCTCTCTCTCTCTCGCCGCCTCCTGTTGTTCTCCTATCACCTTCAATGAAACCATGAAAGGATATCGCCGGCATAATAACAGCTCCGCGGGCCTTTGCGACAGACACGGGGTGGCTTGCCTGACTGTGCGGCATTACTCCTGGACCTCCCCCGGGCCGGCGCACCTGGCAACGTAGCGCCAGATGTGGCGTGGCGAGGCCGGCCGATGAAATCGAACGTAATTGCGCCTGTTTCGGTTCACGCAACGGCGAGGCACAATGGAAAGTCAGCGGCGCACGACCCCTCGGGCGTCGGCAGCCGCGTGCGTCCCGACCGTGCAGTGTTTGTCGCCGGTTACCGAAGGGAGCGAGGACGAGCACGGCTGGAGATGAGCGGCATGTCGCTGCATGACGCGGCCACTGTCCACATGCCTGTTGGCTGGAGCAGACTTATGTTTTGACTATGAACTATTTCAAATGTTTGAGTGATGTTTTTTGCTGCTTCTTGTCACATTGCCACATTGTCAGTTCTTTCAGACTTTTTTAACGTCTGGCCGTAACTGCTTTTTGGACAAAATGTAGAATATAAGACAAAAACCACAAAAACCAAGGGACCGAAATTCATGATTCCTCATCAGTGAACACGTCTTCGAAGAGTAACATCGAGCGTCATTCACAACAAAAACCCGAGAGATCGTGTAGGCAAATGAAGTAAGCGCCCGAAAAACACATCCGAAGCCATACTAAAGAAACCAGCCACCGCAGCAGTGACGCGAGGAGAGATTGCTCCACACCGCAGTGCGTGGTGCACCGGTTTCACCACGCTTACCGTTCCTGAAAAAGCTTAGCTATTGTTTTTAGAATTCACGCCTGAACCGTTGAAACTGCCATCTGAAGGCGCATTCCACCAATCGCAGCCTCTCAGATCGCCCCACATTGGAGTTACGTTCACTGGCCTGTCAGATCACCATACGTCTTCACGTCCACTGGTCTGTCAGATTGCCCCACAATGCCGTCACGTCCACTGGCCTGTTAGATCTCCACACAACGCCGGCGCATCCACTGGTCATGACATTGCGGTTCGTTAGCGCTCCACATCCTTCACGAAGCTGGACAGTGGGCTAAAAATGACCACAGCTCTGTCGATGCGACATGAAGCCAACGTCCCCTTCACCACGAAGCTGGGAAGAAGGCCGGAACATCACCAGATCCCAATATGCACGAAAGGGCAAGGCGAGGCCCTCGCACGCCCTGGGGTTCAATGCGAGTGAGCTGTCGTAAAAGTGAGATTGTCCCGGGACGGGTACAGTCGGCCAGGTACGCCGCTTAGAGTGACATCCCGTCCACGTGTCAAACAACGCCCTTGCCGGCGACAAGACCTGGATCGTTCAGCGAAGATGTCAGATCACGGCACAAAAGGAAGGCGCGTTGCTGCCAAACAAAGGGCGTTGCACCTTGTTTCCACCCTCAGCCGGTGTGATCACACATATTTTAGAACTACCGCATGCATTTTGAAACTGGCGCAATCAAACATGAATTATCAGTAGCATTCTGCTAAGCGCATCTCATTTCGACAGTTATTTTATGCACCTCCAGCGGTGACGCAGAACTGGCACAAACCCGGCGCTAACGCAAGGAATTTCTCAGTAATTGCTTAACACCAGAACTAATGCACCCAAATTTGGCAATTTTGAAACGAATTCGTTGCATTACAGAATGGATATTTCAGTGTATGCCCATTGATCCAGTGTGGCTCATCTGTCAATGTGAGTGACTATACATGTAATTTTATTTGTGGCATCTCAGTGATTATCACGTGCGCGCTTAAAATCTTCGACAGAGCCACAACCAATAGGACCGAATATCCTTGGGTTGTTTTGACTGCATTCCCCTAACGCGGTGTCATCGCACCGAAATAGCTTGCAGCTGTGTCAGACGTGTGCCAGCTTAGCGCTACCGCAAAATTCGAATACCGTACGGCCGGATAAGAGTGTGAAAAATGTGTAGCATCCATTTTGGGCCCAGCGACGTGCCTGCATTTTAAGGCATGTTTTTTTAGCAACTCGGCACGATGTTGCAGTTTTCGTCGGAGATGAGGACCTCGTCCAATTCGTCAGAGCAGCGGCGTCCGGCGCGGTCTCCGTCACCGGCTATACTTGTCTCCAACGATCCCATGCTCACGACAGCTCACCCACAGAGGAAGCGGCCCAGGGCATCGTGAAGCAGGACTAATCTTGTTTGTTCGAGCAGACCGGCTTCTGGTTGTCTGGCACATACCCACCGCAGCCGTCATCACACAAATGGCAAATAATTCATCACGGTCTATCTTGATCGTGGTCACGCTCAAGCAACATTTAATCCGCGAATTGTCCGCCGTCTGCTGAAAAGCCGGTTGACCGTTCTGCGGGTAGCAAAAAACAACGAAAAAATTTAAGTACGTCTCCCATTACGATACCACAGCTATCTCATTTCCCGAGAAACGATCAAGAAATTCCATCCCCGATTACCAAGACCGCGCGTTTTTACTACCCGGCAGATGCATCGACATCGTGAACTGGAGAATTATACCTTGAACTCGTTGAATAAAGTAATTAGCGGTGTCTGCGGCAAACGTCAGTCGTGGGGGCGAAGTGAAGAGGACGGTAACATCAGCTGCGGCCGCCGGTGGCGCCGGCCCAATACAGCCGGGACGGCGATGTTGACGCTCTACACTTCGCCCCATTCAACATATTTCAGGCCCATCTTTCTTCCAGCAGGCTCATAATAGTTTGGCGTGCAGACTGTATGTTCCCGATGTCTTCGATTTTCATTATATTTAGTTTGTGTCTGTATTTTCTGCCTTATCAGCGAATCAGACTACGAGTCCACCAGGCCTGTGGTCACAGTCAATATTTGTTCGGAAACACTTCACCTTCGACTCAAGACTTTTTGAACCATCCGGATCTCATTCAAAATGACGACTGCATGTTGCTTGAATCCATGACAATTGATTCATTGCTGATGCCCACCTCAGCTCGATCATCCCGCGGCATGTCGATCGATGCATCATTGATTGATCACATGTTCAATGCTAGTGTGCTGGTTGAACCGTTCCCTTGAACTCTAACTGGTAAACAAGGAAACTCTAGCTGGTAAACCAGGAAACTAACAGGTAGACCACGAAACTCTTACTGGTAAACCAGGAAAAGGGGAAATAACAAGGGGAACTCTGGGAAGGGGGACGCTTTGATGTCCGTTGTTAATACACACTTGCTCGCGCTGAGCAAGCAGTCCCTATTTCGCTGTGGAGCTTTACATATTTCATGTGTTGTTGGATGCGACCATGGGGCGATAGGAGGGAGCTGCACTGCACATCGAACTGACTTGATAGGTGGAAGTGGAAATGGTTGACGGTGCCTAGGTCGGGCACCGCGCTGCGTTCCAAGGTGAGGCTGACATCTTGTCTAGTATGAAAGCCCCTGGCAACGAGGTTCCATTTGTGGGCGTTGTAGTGGCAGGGTTTGGTGGAACAACCTAATTTCGTATCCAAAAGTTAAACAAAACGTCGGGGCAAATTCATTTGGTCTGCGCGTTGATTTGAGCGACCGCGGCTGTCTCTTTCGAGGGGCCAACGATGGCCGTGATGACAGATATGGCGTGTTTTGTAAGACAAAATCAACTGACTTGCAGCTTATGCGAAATGGGGCGATCCAAGAATGGTTAACCGATTCAGCTTGAATCCGACGCCATCCCCAGTAAATTGCGATCATGATAACGCCAGTAGAAATGCTTTAGTAAGTGTATTGCAAGCACCAACATGATCCAGACACCTTACAAAAGAGGCAGCTGTACGCTGCACGCCTGGAATGTCGTCATCTGAAAAATACTCTGAAAGTCAAAATCACCGGTTCGCTTTCACCACAATCGATACCGAGCTGCAGCTCCACGATAACCCGATCCTACGCGTCGTCACTATCAATTGGCAGCAAAGCCAGACCCCAGCCTCAGGCGTCGGAGGTTGGTGGCCTTTCGAGCGCGCGGCCGCCAGACACAGTCACCCTAAAGGCTGGCGACGGCCTTCTTGGCGGCGTCCTCCAGGTCGGAGGCGGTCTGTATCGGCAGCCGCGAGTCCGACAGAATGCGGCGGGCCTCCTCCACGTTTGTGCCTGCGGCGAGGGCAGTGTCAGACAGGGAGCGCGGTGAGGGGACTGTAAGGGCTGCACAGGCTGAGGGGGATGTACGGACTGAGAGGGTTGCACGGACTGAGGGGGTTGTACGGACTGAGGGGACTGTACGGACTGAGGGGACTGTACGGACTGAGGGGGCTGTACGGGCTGAGGGGGCTGTACCGAGGTCCACCAGTACTGCCGCACGTGCTGCTGGTCCCTATTGGGCACACCTGTCGCCGCAAGCAGATCAGGTCGGCCACAGTTTCTCAACGTACCTTTTTGAGACGTTTGAGCTGGAAGTGATCGTTAAGCCCTGTGTGAATGTGATAAATGACACGTTCATACCTTGACATATTCATCTTTATCGTCTTCACATGGGGTTCAACGACCACTCAACCCGAATACATTAAAATGCCAAATACCTACAGGAGGCTCTCCATCAGCTAAATATTAAAGGCATAGCTATGCACAACTATTCTACGAGATGACAAGACTATAGTGAGAATCAGTCGTGACTGTCTTTCAAGACCTACTCCAGACAGTGGCTGCCGTCCACGACCTCTACCAGACGGTGGCTGTCTGGCTGTCGTGTGCGACCTACTCCAGACAGTGGTGTTGACGTTCGAACTCACCGTAAGCATCAAATTTGCGTTCTATTGCTGTCGGCTGAGGCCGACAATACCTAAAGGCAATGCTCCATCTTTTAAGGCATTTAAGCAAGTATCAGGTATGACAAGATCACCTCACTTACAACTATTGGTATGCTTTTAAGAGAAAAAACTGCTCTAGCCAACGAAATTTTTCCGTCACGTAAACATGCATCCCAATGCGTCACTGATTGCATCATGAAACTTTGTATGACGTTGAGGTGCAGCCAAACTAGCCGCGCGAAATTACCGCCGTATCACTCATTTATAAAACTTAAAATCGCCAGACAGGCGGCCATGGCAGTGATAAACCAAATATCGTTATCTGCTCGAATTTTGGGCCATTCCCTAGGGGTTTTTGCATATTCATCCGTGAGTTTAAGCTGTTTGCTTGCATTCACATACTCGGTTAAGACGCTATTCTAAAGTTATTCGATTACAAGCCTTGTTTCCGTAATAAAAGGCAAGTCCAGCATCTGTATTATGTAACGCGAGACAGGATTCGTGATTGAATATCCGACACTTTTGTCCTCTTTCTCGCTTCATCCTGCATCCTCGTGTTGCCCCGCTTGTCTGCATGCGCCAGCCACGGGCCGGTCGAAAATCCCCCTAGAGGGGAAACCCGAGGGGGCGCCCAGCGCATACCTTTTAGAGGGGTCCCATGTGGGCTATGGCTCAGCGGTTACCCCCGCCCCCCCTCCCCCCACAAGCGCATGTGGTCCTGCCACCACTGTTATCCATTCCCCTTCATCACATAGCCCCGAAATGATCATTACTGATCGAAAGAGTTCCAAATAATCAAATCGTGACTGAAATTTGCACAGCCTGCACAACATTGGTTGAGAGCCGATTGGCGATCGCTATACCTGGAAATTGTGCTCAAAGGCACCAGCTATGAACAGCTCGACAATTCTATTCTTGTTGACCTTGAACGATAAATGACCAATGGGATGGCAGGATCTGAATGACGTGTCTTTGGCGTCGCGCATACATAATAACCTTGAAACGGTCTACACGAAAAAGTCCCCACATTTTCGTGGGCGCGTAACTCAAGCTAGAGGGGTTTAGGGCGTAAGAAGAATAGGGCAGTGAGCTGCACCGACTGATCTCGAATATGGTGATTCCAGTCCATGACCCCATACAAATATGGAACACTCCCTTCACTAGGCCTTAAATGTTCTTCGAGGCGAACCATATTTAGTCAAGGCTTTTAGGCGTTCAAGCACCGCTCCACATTTTCTGACAGAGCATGTGCTTACCCTCGAGCCGCACTACCAGGGGCAGGTCCAGGCTGATCGACTTGGAGGCGTTCACGATGCCGTTGGCGATCGTGGCGCAGTTGACAATGCCACCGAACACGTTCACCAGAATGGCCTTCACGTTAGGATCTGAAGTGAAGGGCCTAGCGTCAGGTCACACCGGCGCCTCGTCGCCAGACGCCACGATCGGCGCGGGACGAGCGAGCTGGGCACAGAGATACGTAAAGACACATCAGGTGATAACACAAACTAAGCAAGTTCCTCCATACGCCATTGGGGCCCGCACACTACAGGCCTTATCATTGGGACCGCACTATTCTGATTGTACTATCGGTCAAACATTACGTTGGCTAGACTACAAGTAAAACTAAGATCCCATGAGCATACAGCCCCATCCACACGAGCGAACAACACGGCTGACGTCCACACCGAGGAGTCCGAAACGCCAGCCTGACAGGCGTGCCGCACGGCGACGCTCACACCGAGGAGTCCGAAACGCCAGCCTGCCAGGCGCGCCGCACGGCGACGCTCACACCAAGGAGTCCGAAACGCCAGCCTGCCAGGCGCGCCGCACGGCGACGCTCACACCGAGGAGTCCGAAACGCCAGCCTGCCAGGCGTGCCGCACGGCGACGCTCACGCCGAGGAGTCCAAAACGCCAGCCTGACAGACGCGCCGCACGGCGACGCTCACGCCGTGGAGTCCGAAACGCCAGCCTGACAGGCGTGCGGCACGGCGACGCCACCGTGCGCCCACCAGCCTCCTCCGCGTAGCCGCACCAGGCGTGATCAGCTCCGAGCCAGTCTGCCGCGGCTGCCAGTCGCTCCCACCGTCGTCAAGCCCCGCCGATGGGCCCGCGGGCAGCGCCCCCTACCCACCGGATGTGAGCAGCTGGAAGGCGTTCTTGACCTGCTCCTCCTGCACTCCGCCGCCGCAGTCGAGGAAGTTGGCCGGCTCGCCGCCGTGCAGCTTGATGATGTCCATGGTGGCCATGGCCAGGCCGGCGCCGTTCACTGGCGGGACAGCGGGACAGTCAGTGGGGAGACGGTCCCACCACGGTCCCCACCGTCGGTGTAGAGGGACGCCACCACTGCCACCACTGCCAGTGCACGGCACGCATATCGTGCAAACTCTGGAAGGCGAGGGGAAACCCAAGAGCATGCAGACGCAATATCAGTACCACAAAAGCCATGAGTTGCTGAGCAATGCTTGAGCCAAATTGGCATCTCGATTACTCACATCGCAAGAAGGATGGGCACACCGATGCTACTTTCCAAACCACAAATCTCTCCAGGGTGCTCAACAATTAAATTTAATAGATACATGACATGGATAATCTGGGATGGCCACTGTGAGAGCTTGACGACTGAGATAAAGCGCTTCATGCGTCAATAAATTAACAAACAGTATGGCACATATCTACAGGCATCATATATATATATATATATATATATATATATATATATATATATATATATATCCTTAAATGATTAACACAACTTTCTGCATAGCATTTCACACGAATAATGTGGCCGCTATCAGGCACGTCTTATGCTCCACATGATGCGGAGGGCGTTAACGTAAATCAGGCACCATCCCGCAGGTTATAAAATAGGGGTCTGACCGGGACAGCCAGCCCACTTCCCCAGCACTGACCGAGACAGCCGATGTTGCCGTCCATGCCGATGTAGTTGAGGTTGTGGTTGGCGGCCTCCACCTCGCGCGGGTCCGACTCGCTCGTGTCCTCCTGCGCGAAGATCTCGCGCTGGCGAAACTCGGCGTTGTCGTCGAACTGCCGGAGGCGTCGGGCCGGGCTAGGTCAGAGTCAGCCGACCATACAGCTGGCCGAATAAGGACCACGTGTCAGAGGAGCCGCACGATGGAACGGCGGCACCACCTCGCACGACAGCACTCCGGTGAAAAATGTGGGACGTGGCTCGAACAGGCGGGAGAACGGGCAGATAAGCAGGCAAAGATCTAGCGGTCGCTTCACCACGGGCTTCACCACGGGCTTCACCATGGGCTTCGCCACGGGCACAAATTGGGGGCATGACAGTTTAAACTGCTTCTTTCTAGTTAAAATGCACACGCGTGACGCTATATTTTGACGATGTAGCGGCTGTCCCTCTTCCCCACCCTATAGCAGAGCCCATGCATCTAAGAGTTGTGATAGCAGCAAAAACAAGTAACCTGTGACCAGGGGGAAACAAAGGGCGCACCTCTCACCACGCCAGAGGCCGGTGGCTTCGTCTGCCACCATACGCATCAGCGTGTTTGGGCTTGTACAACTCGTTCATTAAACACAGACTACACTGTTCTGTACTGTAGAGTTCCTGCGGTCTTACTCAGTCCAACAAGCTGTAACGGCGGGCTGCCATTAGCGGCGCCTCACCTGAATTTTGGCGTCGACGGCCACCACCTGGCCTTGCGGCGTCTCGATAAACGGGTTGATCTCCACCTGAGTGGCGTCCACAGCCAGAAACAGCTTCCACAGCGCCTGAATCTCGCCGGCCGCCTGCGCCGAGAAACAAAACAGCAGCTGTTAACAGCCGACGCCGAGACCAGGCCGCTCAGTGTTACGAGGATGAGCGGACGAACGAGCGAAGCCGCATGGCGCGGGCTCTCAACGGAGATAAGCTTCCGGACTTCAACACACCCCGATAAATTTTTCATCACAGATAATCGCTCATGTAGTAGGCAATAGTCTAATGCACACAAATGACCGAATCGACTGCACTGGTTGCCATGCTTTTGTTATTTTTCGCATCTCCTTGTCTCGAGAAATGCTTAACATGCACAGCCACTGGGCTCTGACGGCACGGGTGACAAAACAATGCAAATGCGTTTTATTTTTTCATTCGGGATGTCCCGAGAGACGCCAACGGAATAAGGCATCCGCATACTGCCACCTCTCCGACCGCCGCAGTACCCCGCCAGCGCGCTCCTCGCGTACCACCAGCCCCCCCCCCCCCCCCCCCACCTCTCCGACCATCGCAGTACCTCGCCAGCGCGCTCCTCGCGTACCCCCCCCCCCCCCCCTCCTGGCCGGTGACACCCCACCCCACCTTGGCCTGCAGGTCGCCCTTGAAGTCGAGGAAGGCAGCCAGCTCGCTTGCCATCTGGTCGGTGACGCCCTGGTGGATGTCGACTGGCAGCGTGCGCAGCCGGTCGGGCGTCTTCTCGGCCACCTCCTCGATGTCGACCCCGCCGTCCGGCGAGGCGATGATAACCGGGCCGTTGTACTCCCTGCGGCAGAGGCGGCGCCGTGCCGGTCACGGGGCCGACTCAGCGCCGCCGACAGCGCCGGCGAGCGGCGTCAGCCGGTCCGGCGCGCGGCCTCGACAAGGCTGAGTTGCTAGCGCCCAATGTGTTCGGTTGACCCGACGCGCGCCACATGACGGTCGCTTTGCTTCTCCCTTATACCAACCTCTTTCAAAACAAGCCTGGGCAAATACAATTGAGTGCTTTCTATCAAAGGCTTACCAAAATGATCTTGTCGCTGGATGCCCATGGACTGTTACATTGCACTCCTAGGATATACGGCGCACGCGGCTGTCCAGAATGGGGTGGGGTAGGCTGTAGGAGGGGCACCTGACCTAGCAGGGGTGGGGTCGCTGCCGCTGATGCGCCGCGGTACTGAAACTAACCACAGCCAGTCTGCCACTTGCCAACAACCAACCACTTACCAACCACTTGCCAGTCTGCCTGGTGCCTTCGACGCACATATTTTCCAAAGTGACCATGCAAAAACCACTTCACAAGGTTGTCGTCCCCCTCTGATGGCGCCACGCGCCAGCATACCTGTCCATCAGGATGCAGAAGTAGGTCTCGCGCAGGATGTCCACCGACTCGGCGATCATCACCTTCCGCACGAGGATGCCGGACTTGGGCGTTTGCTTGGTGCGGAGCCGGTGGCCGGCCATCGAGGAGACCAGCATGGGCACATTCGACGCACTGCAAACACGTGCGGTCACCAAGGTCACATTCAGACGAGCTGTGCGTTCACCAGGGTCATATTGAGACGAGCTGTGCGATGACCAGGGTCATGTTGAGACGAGCTGTGCGATGACCACGGTCACCTTCAGACGAGCCGTACGGTCACTATGGTCATATTGAGACGAGCTGTGCGGTCACCACGATCAAACTGAGACGAGCTGTGCGGCCACCAGGGTCATATTCAGACGAGCTATGCGATGACCACGGTCACCTTCAGACAAGCCATACGGTCACTATGGTCATATTGAGACGAGCTGTGCGGTCACCATGGTCACATTCAGATGAGCTGTACGGTCGCCTCGGTCGCATTCAGACGAGATGCGCGGTCGCCTCGGTTACATTCAGATGAGTTGTATGGTCGCCTCGGCGTGCACACAATCAACAGCCAAACCAATGTATCAAACTAGCTTCTAAGGCACAGCTTATGTAACAGCTGTTTAATGCTTGGCTAAGTAGCTAAAAGATATTCTGTACCTACTAGCTTTCACAACTTGTGTCCCATGAAAAGCATGGGAGTAAAACAGAACTGTACTTTGAAAATGGCAACTTTATGAAGGAATCACATTATTTGGCATTACAAAATAGCAGTTGAACTGTACAATAGTTGCCATACTCACTCCTTGGTCAGATGTACACCACCCTTGAAGCCATTGTCAAATGTTCCCTTTCCTCGGCCACCAGCCAAAATTTGAGCCTTCACAACATATTCTGCTGGGACTGTGGAGGAAAAACCAGAGATGCTCATGGATACAAAATGAGCTGTCTCTCACTGATCTAAGGTGACATAGCACTGCTACAAGCAATTCTCACTAAATGTTGCTGGTACAGGTTACTGACAGTAAAGCTAAAAGTTCAAAGTTCATTCATCAGTTCATCAGTTGCTTGGCAATTTATCCATGGACAAAAAATACATAAATACCCTGATGTAACTTACCAAATGTTTTAACAGCTTCCTTGGCCTGTTCAGCAGATTCTGCCATCTTAAACTTTTGCACTGTGACACCATGCTTATCAAGCAAGTCCTTGCTCTGGTATTCTAGCAAATTCAGATGTCGAACAGATGGGGAGAGTGATGTGAGTGCGAGCAGCTGTAAAAAGAAATGGATCAGATAGGAATGCATCAATCATATAGACATGTTTATGAATATTCCTGTTGTTTTCAATAGAGGAAATATTTTTTGTGTAGTGATTCAGTAGCCTTGGTTTGTGCCATGGGCTGCAAAATTTATGTCATAATATGAGTGACTCAATTAGATCTGGCCAAAAATATGTGCATCTAATTCCACAACTTAACCATTAGTGATAACTCATTTAATGGAGGTTTGAACCATTTCACAGGTATGGTGAAAACCAACAACAAACTTTGAATTGTGATTAGGTTTGGTGCTAGCTCTTCATATGTCAAGGGACCAGCTCTTTTCAATGGATCAAAGAAATATTGCCAGGCTTGAATAACACTTATGGTGGTTGTGAGTGTTTGTTTCCTTCACATAATTCAATTGCACACAAACAAGTACCTGCCAAGTGCTCAAACCATCGTGTCTTACATGCCTATCAAGGATACACCAGTAAATTTAGATGGGGAGGGAGAGAAAGGCAAGGGAGCTGAGGCTTCCTTCTAAGCAACCAGGTGTTTTAAAAAGCAAGGCTGCTGACAAGTAATAACATACAAAGTATGATGTTCTATTGACTTTAGTGGGCATATTAGGACCAGAAGTTCCTAATAAAAGAACTCACACCTACAGCAGATGGCTGATGATGGGTCATACAAAGGTTCTGCTAGGTGCACTGTCACGGGTCAAAGATGGGGCACTTGAGTTGCTTTTGATGATATTCTTCCATCTGATATAACCAGAATGCTAGATTCTGCAAGAGTAGACAATTTAATCCATGATCTGCCCAGTGATAGAGTCAATACTCCCTGCTGACCCACAAACTCTACAAATGAAACCTGTGCTGGCAAGCTAGGGCTGGGGCCTGCCATCAACCAAGGAAGCTCTCCATGACAGAAAGCTTATCATAGCCTGTAAAGGAGCCCCTGCTAGATTCTAAGGAATACTCAACAGACTAAATCCTTATCCATATAATGTTGTGCCACTGCACAAACTCCAAGGTTTCTCTCATGAGGTCCCTTTTCCATGCTCTTTGGTGAATTTAATCTATCCTAAGCAAAATGTTTTAAATATGCAATTAGCACCCATGTACACCCAAAAACAGGTATCTGGTTGAAGCATGCTCAAAGTAAATATGACAAGAGATCTGCTACAACACCACTGGGACCATCAGCCACTGCATGTGACTTATAGTGATGCCTGAACAAACCATTCTGGAACAAGACTGTCCATTTCATGATGGAAGTTTAAGGGATTTCAGAAAAAAAACTTCTGAATGAAAGTCTTCAAAGGCTCCTAGGTCAACAATAAGAGGTATTGGTATTGCCACCATAGGCCTTGCACTTCCTAAAGCAGTCTGCATCAACTGATCTGAATGGTATAATGGCTATGCCAATGGCAGAGGAGTATACCTGTTTACAGCTTCACACTTATTGTTGTCAAGATATTGTCAGATTATGATGCTGAAGTAAAGAGAATAGCATGGCTATGAATTGGGTCTTAGTTATGGATCTCCATGTTTAGTTAAGTTCCTTGCTTGTACAGCTGTAAAACAAGTCCACCTAACCCTCCGTACCCATTAGCTGATGCACACTAATTTGGGAAGTAATTAACAGCTTTTCTAAGCGACCCTTCATCACCACTGAAAAAAATGCTACGTTTTACATAGACAAAACGTGAAAATAGAAAACAAATTACCTTCCTGTCTAGCAGGGCTTTGGTAAGCATCCGAGGTAACGTCGATGTTGCCATTTTTTGCTTCTCTGCGTACCAAAATCTAAAAACGTGGCCCTACCAATGCACAAAAGAAACCAATATGGATGTGATATCAAGCTGCGGCGACGCAGGGCACGGAGAGGCGTTGCGTAAAGGCATTGATGATACTGATGATGGCTTATGTCACGAAACGTCCCACAAGCGTCCAGTTAGGCTACATTTAGCTTAGCTGCCAACTAGAAAAATTTCCTCACACGTACAGCTACCAAATTGTAGATCTGACACATTCACATTGCAGGATGTGCCGTCCCCGCTTCATCGGTAGTTGCAAGCAATCGAGCAACAGCCCAGAGATTGGGTTTCATGCTTTGTGCACGTGTTGCCTGCTCAGTTAATTATGTTCTTCGGATTCTGCTCCCCACATTATTTTGCCTGCAAGCTGTGATATCTGCAAGACCTACAACATGGCCCACAGTATTTGACCAAAATCTGTGCCGAAAACATCAGATTGTTGATATTATTAGTGATGGAGATATGTAATGATATATCCTGTGTGCTAAAGAACACTAGTGGGCCCCTATTTCAGTAGCTAGAAGTAGTGTAACTGCAGCAACCTGGTCTGCCCTGGCCAGTCACACTCTTGACAGGCACTTTATCTTCAGAACCACTGGCCTTACAGTCACAAAGTGTCCTGCTGCAAATAGCACAGCATGTTGCATGAGCATTGTGCTGTGAATCGAGTCAGATATCTTTGAACAAGCTGTCTAATTAGGTGTCATCTTCATGCAACATGACAGTAGTACCACCATTTGACCATGCTTAAAATTTTAAACTGAGAACAAGCTGAGAAATATTAAAACCAGGCCTGGATCTCTGCAACCAGGTGCTGTGGTGTTGGGACCCCTCCTGATGATAGAAAAAATAAATGATTCCATTAATAAAATTATCAGCAGGTATGCCAAAAACAGTCCAGGTGATCAGTGATGCCATGCACAGTGACGCACAGACCATCAATCTGCTTACCATGGGGCATGAATGAGGATTTATATCAGGTTTTTGAGGCCAGGGAAAATCAAGATATGAAATTAGCTGCATGATGTGGGCAAACATACCACCAACCTGTCATTAAGCAATATCAGCACCATCCAGCCCAATGTGTACTTACAAAGCTTGCAATGCCAAAGCTCTGCTCTGTGGCTCAGAGTTGCCAGTAACTTTAACCATTTCAACACTGACACAGGTTCCCTTGGCCCATAGCCATCTAGTATAAAACAATCACAGTTGTAAATTTTTGTTTAGATGCTAAATCTCAGTGTACCTGTGTCTGCAGAGCTTGGAATGAGGGACATTCTAATGCCCAGATAGAGCCTATTGTTGTGGATTCTGAGGAGGTCAACATACTGGGTGTTTTTGTGTCCATTCATTAATGTTTACATTATGAGCAGCCTCTTATTATGTCATGGCTGGAATAACTAATGCCTTTTCTCATTCCTCCCATACAACCTCATATATGCTCTCACACTGATATGTGCATGCTGCAGGTGCATCCCTGTGGTTGTAATTATTGACCACTGCCTCCATCTTCTTCTCAGTGTGTGTGTGAGGCTGCCTGCTGTCAAGTCTGCTGCCCATCAGTGAAGCCATGCTGCGCTCGTGGCGCTGCCTGTGGTCGGCCAGCGCCCGGTTACCAGCCACCCGCCGGCTCTGCACCGCCATCCCAGAGCAGGAGTACGACGTGATCGTTAGCGGCGGCGGCATGGTCGGCCTGGCCATGGCGGCCGCGCTGTGCACGGACCCCGTGCTGCGCGACTACCGCGTCACGCTGCTGGAGGCCGGGCCGGCGCCGCCACCGGCAGCGGCCCTGCCGGCCGAGTTCAGCAACCGAGTGTGCGCACTCAGCCCGGCCACGCGCCGCCTGCTGGAGCGGCTGGGTGCGTGGGAGCGACTCGAGCGGTACAGCACCACGCAGCACATGCAGGTGTGGGAGTCGCGCTCCGACGCCATGATCCGCTTCGAGAACCTCGAGCGGCCTGAGGACCTTGCCTACATCGTCGAGAACGAAGTGATCACGCGCGCGCTGTCCGCCGCGCTGGCGGCCGCCGGCGGCGAGGTGGCGTACGACGCGGCCGTGGAGGAGATCGCGCTGCCGCCGGCCGGCGCCGCGCCGGGGGAGGACGCCGTGCGCCTGCGCCTGGCCGACGGCCGCCGCCTCAGCTGCTCGCTGCTGGTTGGCGCCGACGGCGTCGGCTCGGCCGTGCGCCGCGCCATGGGCGTGCGCACGCTCGGCTGGAGCTACGGCCAGCGCGGCGTAGTGGCGACGCTGTGCCTCGCCGACGCCGACCTCGCCAACAACGTGGCCTGGCAGCGGTTCCTGCCGACGGGGCCGCTGGCGCTGCTGCCGCTCTCCGACACGCGCAGCTCGCTCGTCTGGAGCACGTCCGACGCCGAGGCGCGCCGCCTGCTCGCGCTCTCCGACGACGACTTCGTGGACGCGCTGAATCGCAGCCTGTGGGACGAGCACGAGGCGGCGCCGGCCGTGCAGTGGGCGGCGGACGCGGCGCGCGGCCTGCTCGGCGCGCTCGGTCTGCGCGCCCCGTCGGGCCCGCTACAGCTGCCACCATCCGTGGCCGGCGTCGTGCCCGGTAGCCGCGCCGCCTTCCCGCTGGCGCTGCAGCATGCCGAGGCATACACGGCGCGGCGTGCCGTGCTCGTCGGCGACGCGGCGCGCCGCGTGCACCCGCTCGCCGGCCAGGGCGCCAACCTGGGCTTCGGCGACGTGACGGCACTGGCGGCGGCGCTGGCGGCGGCGGCCAGCTGCGGCGCCGACCTGGGCGCGCGCCGCCACCTGGCCGAGTACGAGACGGTGCGCCAGCGCGCCAGCGCGGCGCTGCTGACGCTCACCGACGGCCTGCAGCGGCTGTACGGCACCGAGGCGCTGCCGGCCGTGCTGCTCCGCTCCGTCGGCCTGCAGGTGTGCGACGCCGTGCCGCAGGTGCGCCGCTTTCTCATGGACCGGGCGCGCGCCTGAGCGGCTCGGGGGCCGCCGGCCGCCGCCGGGCGAGGAGCGATGACGCCTCGTGTTGGTGAGACCCCGCGTGTTTCTGGTGGGCGGCAGGGATTGTTGGTCGTTCCTTCCGGCCCGGTTTGTGGGCCTGGTGGGCGAGCCGGCCAGGTCACGTGAGAGGTCATCCGTGTGCCGCTTGCGGGCTGTTTGCGTGAGCTGTTCTCAGCTTGCGACTGATCGGAGTGACTAGATGCCGCAAAACCTTGGCCGATTCGTGAACCGCTCAATCGTTTTTAGTCACGGTCGTCACCGCTGGGCACTGCTGAATGAGTGCCTTTGCATCTCACAAAGCAGATGAACACGCATGGGGTTCTCTTGGCAATGGGATGAGTGATCCGAATCAGCTTTTAGTTGCATTCGTCGGCGTCCTGTGTGCTTCAGCTGTACACACTTTGGTGGCTGTTGCTGTTAACTTTGTGTCACTGATTGCGTGATAATATATGCGTGTTCTCGGTATGTGCTGCAAATAATTGCGACTTCTGGCAAACACCAATTCAAGGATACGAACAAGCGCTTTTCGACAAAACAGCGCGGCGCTCTTGTCGCAACGATGCCCCGTTTCCACATCCTTTTCAGCCACGCCTCGGCGGTGGAACAATTATGAGCCTTGGCCTGCCGCCGTTATAATTGCTGTCCAATGTCTGCATGTCTGCGCTCCAAGAACAAAAGTCTTGGTCCGTTCCGCGTGCACACGGACGCTGTATTGCTCGGCCACTTGTTGCCCCGGCCAAACAACGGCGCCCATAAATTTCCATCCAGGATCTGTGGACCGTAATTTGTCTTAGCACCCCGGGCCGGCGGCCACGCCCTGCTACCGTCGGGGCTTACTCATTAACGCCCGGCCTTGGGGGCTGTCCGGAACATGCAAACCGTCTGCGTCGCCGACGGGCTGCGGGCGACCGGTGTTGCTGAGCTGTCAGGTGTGCTGGGCTCAGTCACAGGCGCCGGTGTTGCTGAGCTGTCAGGTGTACTGGGCTGAGTCACAGGCGCCAGTGTTGCTGAGCTGTCAGGCGTGCTTTGCTGAGTCACAGGCGCCAGTGTTGCTGAGCTGTCAGGCGTGCTGTGCTGAGGCACAGGCCCCAGTGTTGCTGAGCTGTCAGGTGTGCTGGGCTGAGTCACAGGCGCCGGTGTTGCTGAGCTGTCAGGCGTGCTGTGCTGAGTCACAGGCGCCAGTGTTACTGAGCTGTCAGGCGCGTTGTGCTGAGGCACAGGCCCCAGTGTTGCTGAGCTGTCAGGTGCACTGGGCTGAGTCACAGGCGCCAGTGTTGCTGAGCTGTCAGGCGTGCTGTGCTGAGGCACAGGCCCCAGTGTTGCTGAGCTGTCAGGTGTGCTGGGCTGAGTCACAGGCGCCGGTGTTGCTGAGCTGTCAGGCGTGCTGTGCTGAGTCACAGGCGCCAGTGTTGCTGAGCTGTCAGGTGTGCTGGGCTGAGTCACAGGCGCCGGTGTTGCTGAGCTGTCAGGCGCGCTGTGCTGAGGCACAGGCCCCAGTGTTACTGAGCTGTCAGGCGCGCTGTGCTGAGGCACAGGCGCCAGTGTTGCTGAGCTGTCAGACGTGCTGTGCTGAGGCACAGGCCCCAGTGTTGCTGAGCTGTCAGGTGTGCTGGGCTGAGTCACAGGCGCCGGCGTTGCTGAGCCGTCAGGTGTGCTGAGCTAAGTCGCAGGCACCAGTCAGGTCTGAAATTAGCAGTGCGCCATATCACTGCAGTCCTCTATGGAACCGAGGGGGGCAGCCCAATGCTTTAGACAGCCCCTGTAGGCCTGTTGGCCGGCACTTCACAACCCATAAAACGGTCGTGCCTTCTGACCCGGTGTCAACAGGTCCGTTCGGAAGCAGTTCGGTCTTCCATATTGTAGCTACCGCCCGCTGACGTGCCGACCCAAGGAGGGGCGTCAGCGGTGAGATTTTGTTACCCACCTGCGCTGTGGTGTCATTGCGTCATCGATTATTATCATTATTGTAATGCACACATTTGTGGTTTCTGAATAGCTGATCTTTGCAGGCATTGCGCGCTAAATATTGCGAAAACATACTCCTTAAGACATTGTTAAGACCGGAATGTTGGCCTAAATGGAAACTGGACAGGAGAGATCATCTTGCTGATACGCTGCATTAGGCTGACAGGACTATAGGCTTAACTCATTTATAACTGACACCCGTCCTTTTACGGTTATCATGCGGCCCCCCTGCAGAAGGTGACCCCGGTGGGTCCACAGTCTTGTCTCTGCGGATTATCCGCGAACGGAGGTCACCGGCGTAATTACCCGCGGCCGTCTTGAACGGCCGTGCCCAGCGGCCGTCTGAGCTGCCAGCCACGCCGACCAACGCTGGCGACCTCCGCCGCCTCCTGCCGACGACAGCGCCGGCTCTGGCTTTCTGCACGGAGCGGGACCCTCGCTCGGCGGGTTGCAAACTGATGGCAGGCTAAGTACTGTGGATTCGTCCCTGAAGGGTGACTGCAGTGACCGCTTGCACCGCAGCGGGTGCTGATGATGGTCGCAGTGCCGGGTGAGCGGGCCGGGCTGGCCGGAGTCGAAAGGTGTCCGGCCGGGTGTCGAGGTCGCCACCGCTGCGGGAGGTGCCTGCAGATGGTCAGACTTCTCAGCAGTCTTGCGATCGGGTCATGTTCTCGCGTCGACAACGGTCTGTAGATACTAATAACAAACTTAAGGTTGGCTCCAAGGTTTTAGCTACTGGAGAACAAACGAAATCGGAAGTCGAGGCCGACAGAAAATCAGCGCATGTGTGCACGTCGGTCGTGCGCTCATTCGGATCATTGTGGGGTTGGAGCATCGTAGTCCAGTGGTACTGCAGTGCTGGAGATTGTTGGCCATCGGCCGTATGCAACACCATAAAAGGATCCAAATTCCTACAACACGTGAAACTACCCAACAGGAATGAATGACTTAGGCTTGACTCAAGAAGTAAAGCTTACTTCCACCGTTTTACACAAGAGGCCTCTGGAAATGGCAGCCGCTTTCGAACCTGTGCTGTACCACGATCAGCATTCAGGTCGCGCGGCGCGAAAGAATGTAAGCGTTCCGACAAGCTGCTTCGCTCATGTTTGCTCGCCACTTTCGTCTTGTTTGATTCTCGAGCATGGCGAAATACCCAATATGCACACGTAACACGACTTCCTAGCGCCCCCACCCAAAACACTTTCCATAACTCAACAGTATTACACAAGACTTAGTTCGAGATCCAACCATGGGATGCCCAACCATTGGGTACTCAATATCCCTGTCCCCATCCCGCCCACATCCTGTGACCCCTCCCACCAAAACGAGCATGCGCGCTATCCTCCGCGGACCCAGCTCTTCATGCCTGCTGCGTACGGGGGTCCCAGTCCCCGCGCGTGCCTGCATAATAGTGGGTCACGCCATCCGACTGTCAACATGGGGCGCGCCCAACATACCACGGAGGCGCGGGTGGGTTAGACAGATCTGGGGCTTAGCAGGGGTGGGGCCCGGCCTGACCCGGGACAGTGTTTGGACCGGACCCTGGAAAGCAGCCAAGCCACACCCGGGATAATAACCAGGCCACACCCGGAACAACAGCCATACCACAGCCGGGACAGCAGCCAAGCCACACCTGGGACAATAACCCGGCCACACCCGGAACAACAGCCAGACCACACCCGGGACAATAGCCAGGCCACACCCGGGATAATAACCAGGCCACACCCGGAACAGCAGCCAGACCACACCCGGGACAATAACCAGGCCACACCCGGGACAATAACCAGGCCACACCCGGGACAGCAGCCAGGCCACACCCGGGACAATAACCAGGCCACACCCGGGACAGCAGCCAGGCCACACCCGGGACAATAACCAGGCCACACCCGGGATAACAGCCAGGCAACACCCGGGACAGCAGCCAGGCCGCACCCTGGGCGATATCCAGGTATCATGGAGAATTGTAGCTTGGCTTGGCTCGAGTAGTATAACACCTCGAATTGTGTAGTACCTCGAATAGTGCCTGGTACTTGAATAGTACTTAGTGCTCGATCAAGCACAAAGTAATATGTATAGCACTATTACAGAAAAGTACTTAGCCCTTACCTAGTGGCAGTACCCAGGCCTGACCAGGGACAATATCTAGGCATACCCCGGGACAATATTCCAGGCATGACCGAAACAATGCGTAAACAAACCTTCGTCTGACCAAAACCGTGCCATGAAAACACCCAAAACAACACAGCGCTGACCCAAGACAGTACCTGGGCTTACCCCGTGACAATGTACAGGCTCGGCTAAAACAATATCTAGGCCTGACCCGGGGCAATGTCCAGGCCCGACTGAGACAGTGGCTAGGCCTGACCCGGGCAGTGTCCAGGCTCGGCTAAAGCAATACCTAGGCCTGGCCCGGGGCAATGTCCAGGCTCGGCCAAAGCAATACGTAGGCCTGACCTTAACAACGCTTAGACCTATACCGAACAGCATTTGGACCCGAGCCGCGAAAGTACCTGGATCTCACCCGGAATGATACTAGATCTTGCTCGAAAGAGTACCTTGACCTGACCAGAGACAACACCTAGGCTTAACGCGGGAAAATGTCGGGGCCCAACCGCAACAGCAATGAAGCCTAACCGGTAACAATACATAGGCTTAACTAGGGACGATACCTTGGCCCCACCCGGGCGCATCCGTAGCCTTGGTCAGAATAACGCCGCCATTCGCCCAGGGCAGCGCCTAGGCCTGACCCGCGACCGCCACTGAGGTGAACCTGCTAGAGGTGCCTCGGCCTCGGCCTCACCGCGGGAAATAGCCAGGTTTGGCCAGACAATACCTGGATCCCCAATCGAAGACAATACCTGGCTGTGTCCGACCGCAGACAGTGTCGAGGTAGACCCCAGGCGTCAATATAGACGTCTCACTTCAAGCGACAACACCCAGGTCTGACCCGCAGAACCTTCGCTCTTATTTGGGGAAATACTCAGATCGATCCGGGAGTAATACCACGTCCGGGCTGGGGCGCTCCAAAAGACTGGCGCGATGTCCAGGACTCATCAAGACCGATGCCGAGGTTTGATGCGGGAAGCCTGAAACGATGCTTAGGCCCGACCCGGAAAATATGAGGAATGACCCCTAGGCGATGCCCGAGTATGTCCAGGGTATTTTCCCAACAAATACCTTGGTCTGACGTGGACACATCCCTTGGTCCAACCCAGGATCGCACCTAGGTCTGAGCAGGACAATTCTATACCTGACCCGAAACGATGTCTATGCTAACCTCTGAAAAGACATAGGTATGACCAAGGTACCCTAGGTCAAACATAGATGCCCTGCACAAACACCTATGTCGGACTTGGGACAACGGCTAAGTCTGCCACGCAATGATATGACCCGGAGATCAGGATGTGATACAACGATGACTAGGACTGATGGGAGCAGTACACCTCACGCTGACCTGGAGGTCACACATCGGCCCGAATCGGAACGAGCAGATCGATGACATCGGGCCTGATGGGAGTCATTCCTGTGCCTGACTCGTGAATGCGTGGGACGGATCAGGATGGTTTCAGGCAGTCCTGGTGCGCCTCGCAGGTATCAGATGACAGCTGATGGAGGCACAGTGACTGAGATCACGTTGCTGACCGGGACTGGCAGCCTGACAGAAGCGCACATGCTTCAAGTTAGCTCCGCTTTTCGCTGTTCGGTGACGCTGGGATGAGAAGCACGATGGGGGATTTGAACGGTCGCGTGCATGTCGGCGCTCCTGTTCAGTCCTGGGACGCTGTCTGCAATCAAACACAAGCTGCCACTGCGCTAAGATAAGGCCTCGTTCGTCAGCATGCTCCTGTCTCGCTTGCCTCCGCTTGTAAGAACGTGCTCAGCCCCTGCATCCCGGCCTTGGGAGCCCTAACAGAAGCCTTCATTCACATGCGACATTCAGCCTGACCGCAGTGGCAGCAGTGTTGTAGGTGCTTTTAAGCAGTCGTTTCAAATAGCTCCGGACGATGGCAATGCAATATTGAAAAATACACTCACGCGCACCTTTCCACTGCGAGCACCGTAAACGCACCGCGGCATCATTTACTACTATTGCTCCAAAAGGCCACCTGTCTAGTTCGTGACGGATCATAAAAAACTGAGACATCGCAGAGCTTGCACGGGCGGATTAGTCCCCTTGACCGCCATCTCCGTGCCACCACGAGGCGTACGAGAACCGCTCCCGGTGGTGGCGCGGCCCGGAACTCGGCCGACAGCTCTACTGTTTTCAACTGCTGGCGGTGGCGATGGTGCTCCGATAGGGCGCGGCGGGCGGTGCTACCACGACCTCGCGTCGGCCACCGCCCACCCCCTCCCCCTTCCCTCACCCCCATTTTCCTGCCCAACATATAAAAACATCGTAAATCCGTCGCTCGCTAGCGGCAGCCCGGCGCTTATTAATCGACCTGTGGACGTAGCGACATTTCTCAATATCGGCGGCCAGCCGGCGGCCCTAAATTCTGTTTTATTGACCTGGCGTGCCGTTGGCGGGCACAAACAGCAGTCGGCGCCACGCGGCCATTAGGTCATTAGGGTCGCGGCGCCCGCGGGCAGGGCGGCGGCAGACGCGGCGCGGCAGCCGCTCCGTGGTTGCCTCACCTGCCGTCGGCGCGGCGGCCTCCTCGCCCGGGGAGTGATCACCGAATCGGGCCCAAGGTCGAGCGGAAGTGACCCGGGCCGGGGGGCGGGGCCGGCGGCGGAGGAGCCCCGACCCCGGCGGCCGCTGCGCGCGCAGCCGGAACGTCGCCGCCCCGTGCGCGCGCCGTCAGTGACCGGCTGGGAGTCGCGGAGTGCAGACGGGCGAGTGAGGAGTGGGGTCGGTGATGGAGTCGCGCGCTGCCGCCGGGATAAGGAGGCGGACAGCTTGATAACGTTTACAGGTGAGAGCGGCTGGACCTGACAAGGGCTTATCTGGAGGGGAACCGTAGTGACTGGGGCTATATATATATATATATATATATATATATATATATATATATATATATATATGTGTGTGTGTGTGTGTGTGTGTGTGTGTGTGTGTGTGTGTGTGTGTGTGTGTGTGTGTGTGTGTGTGTGCGCGCGCGTGTATGTCGGTCATGCAAGCCGCGTAGCTGCCCGCGCGGCGCGGAATCACTCACCTTCGACTGCCGTCATCTGTCATCCTTGGATCCAAAAACTAGATGCATCATCTGCGACGTCTGGAAGCATTGTCCTCTGATGCGTGCGTTTGGAAATAATCCATTAATCTCGGCAAGACGCCTGCTGGCATTAGTCTTTGGCCGATTTACCATCTGCCGTCTAAAGGCCAGATGTCTGAGTCACTTAAACGCTGCGCTTCTCCGTGCTGAAATAATTCTGCTAGGCCATGGGCCTCCGGATGGGACAATGTTGCTCCGATTACAGTTAGGCGGCTTCGAGAGCATCACGTAATTCCCCTGAAAAGAGCATGGTAACGGTCCCCGATGTGCCGGTGTATGCTGATCTGCAGGTGCGAGGCTAGTGATTACAATAATCACCGCCTAGTGCTCGTGCCCAGATGTTCTCTCTACTGAACAGCTCAGTCTTCCGGACAAGAGCATTTGCACCGATGATATCAGCTTCTAAACAGCGCGCAGGGGTGAACGCCCAGCTTGACTTGAGACTGCGTCTCTCGGTCCCTTGGAAGTCCGTTCCGCGCCCTCTCGCTCCACATCCCGCCCGTGTCCATCAGCCGTCTGCCGTCTAAGAATCTCCGTCAGCCCCAGTGGGCGTTTAAGTACACAGTCGCCTGCCGAAACAATCCCGGCTTTGTGCTCCGCGGAAGAGAAGTGTGCACCTCAAACATGCAGCAGCCCCTTGTCTGCAGGTGCGCATAACTGAAGCGGAGTTTAGCCGGCAGTGGAGCCAATTCCGCGTCTGCTGGATGGGAGCAGACTGAACGGGATAGCTCTATAAGGCGAACTGTCCACATGGACCGTCTCGAGTTAGACCAGATATCGATTATTGCAGGACGAATGACCGTAAATTTCCCTGACTTGTAGGCAGCAGTAAAAGGTCATTGCGATTTGCATCGGCACATGCAGTGCATGAAACAAAGGATTCGATCCGGATCCTTAAACTTTCAAGTGTTCCAAGCTGTAATACACATCAATGTCGTTATTATTATTTTCCCATGTTCACGTCTGCACATTGCAGAGTAAATTTAGACTTTCTCTGAGAACAAACGGCGCGTTTGAAGCGTTAAGCGCTGAGCGACGAACACTCATAAACACGATATATATATATATATATATATATATATATATATATATATCCATGTATGTTTGTCCTGAAATGCCCAGGATATATTCACTTCGTTCACCGTAATGTGATTGCATCGAAAACAGTATGTACGACATTGATAGGTCTTTGCGGTTCTGATGAGCTGAGCGTAACAACCAAGCTCACCTGTGTGGGACGCTCGTCCCGAATGCGTGTCAAAAATGGAAGAAAACCTCCAAAAAAGAGGCTGCAGCCGTTTGGTAGAATTTGGTCTACAATATGTCGCTCAGAAGAGACCAAGATCGGATAACGGGAGGCGTGGCACTCTTACTTTTGATCCACTTTTTTGGAGCTGCAGTTTGTAGTCACGCTCCGAGACATAGCCCAGGCGCGTGATCAGTACTTGCGGACTCCAAGCATTGCCGTTGGAATGCACCAAAACCACGCTTCGTCGCGTGTCCTCGCCTTACTTGGGCACATATCAGCGGGCAAGCAGGTGTGAACGGTTCTATTTCCTCGTGATATGTGGCTGTGTGATCATCAATTTTCTCGTCAGCACGGCACCTGCCTGTCACCACAATTTTTCACTCCAGTCACTGCGACAGGCATATCGGCACATGTGCCGCGGACAGGTGGCACAACGGCACATGTGCCGCGAACAGGTGGCACACCGGCACATGTGCCGCGGACAGGTGGCACATCGGCACATGTGCCTCGGGCAGGTGACTTATCGTGCTTTGAGCGGAGGGAACCGGGCTCAAACCTCCGCATGGCGTGATTATATCTCTAGCCAGATCGTAACAACTTTTATACGGGGTAGGAGGCTGAGACTCCGGCAATCATGGCAGTTACATGCATCTGGGAGTTATCTAGCGATTACCATGAATGCCCTGAACTCACGGAAATGGAATACAATGTTTTTTCAATAACAGAAGGTTGTGAGTGGTGTGGTTTTGAGTGGTAAGTACTGCTTTTGAGTCGGCTTAAGAAGCTGTTCCAAATGGCAATGGACCGTAGGTGATTAGCGTAAACCCATAAATAAATGCAACTGCCAACGATTTACAGCTTTTGCTACCATAACCAAAAACGTGTGAATAGAGTAAGCAAATGAAACACACGCGTAACGTTTTGAGAGTCCTTTACTCTGCGTGCTGAGGAAGCGACTCCCTTGGAAGTTGTACGTCCTCGGTTACCACCTTCGACCCCAAATCCCGTGGAATTACGGGATTTGTAAGTATAAAGTAAGCAAATGAAACACACGCGTAACGTTTTGAGAGTCCTTTACTCTGCGTGCTGAGGAAGCGACTCCCTTGGAAGTTGTACGTCCTCGGTTACCACCTTCGACCCCAAATCCCGTGGAATTACGGGAAATCAGTGTGATAGCTAGATGGTCGTGGTAAATAGATTATCGCAGAACTAATTCTGATTTCATCCCAAGTGGGAAATCCACGTATTAGAGGAGATTAAACCCACATGCAGAAGAGGTTAAAGCCGTTTCCACGAAGCCTTTCACATGTTGTATGCTACAAGTAATTTTCTTAAGAGAAAGCCGCGACATACAGAGCCCTGACATAAGGTCATGGAACTCCTATGAAACCAGTAGCTATGATATATATATATATATATATATATATATATATATATATATACGTATGTTCGTGTGAAATGAAATATTTCATATCATGGTTTCTTTGTTACTTAATATCTCTTGTCCCTCGTTACGTCTCCTGCTGATACCTCATGTTGTAACCCCGTGTTTAATGTTAAATGGCGCGTTTTTTCGTGTTCCTACTTGCCTTTTCTGGATTTCCCGGCGCCCGTCATTGGCTAAGGGAGGAGCGCGGGCCGGCATAACGTACCCTGTGTGCGTCTTTGATCGGCATTGACACACAATCTGACAGATTCGTGAAAACAGCTCCAGAAGCAATCACCCGTCTACATTCATCCGAGTGTGTAACGCCCATGCGTTTGTTCTAAATATAACTATCTCCTCGCATAGGCACAATCCCCAGATAGGCTTGTACTAGACCGTGGGCATTAACCGATATCAAATGAGCTTATTCTGTTCATGAACGCAATGCGCACCTCCCAAACCACTTGGAGATTATTTTCCCCAGTAATCGTTACGCCGCATCTGATTCTACTTCACTTCCACCTTATGGCGACCACAACTGGCTTCGCCATTCGTGCGCCTCCCCAGCGTTATCACCCAATGTTTCCCATCACGGATCGCCTACACCCCAGTGACCGTCTGCGTCACCTCTGAACGGCTCCGGGCGGCACCCATCCATCAGGTGCGCCCGCGGGAGCTCGCCCCGAGAAAGGCGTGGCATGATTATGTCCTGAATGGCCAAGGTCGCGCGCCTCTCTCCCGATTTCCGCCCAGATAATGCCGGGCGGCACGCAACGCCGCGCTGCCATTTCTCAACGTGCGCTGCCGCCCGCGGCCCCGGCGCGCTCCCGTTGGGGGCGTGACCGAGTGACGGGGCACGCGCTCGCTTAGCCCGGGTTATGTGCGGCTGACGCATGCGCCCGAAAAAGCCGTGTCTTTTGGTATGTTGCTCTTGCCCGTCGAAAAGTGGAAGTGCGTCGAACTGTTGACTGTACTAAGTGTCCAAAAAGCGTGGATAGATCTTAATCACTAAAACTCCGGTAGGTAGCAGATGAGCCTAACCCCCCCCCCATCCCACTTGACTACCTCTGTGCTGATTTGAGAATGGTTAGGGTCGCCGCTGCCGCGCACCGCAACACAGAGGTCATGACCTTAGACCCGTTCGTTCTGGGAACGGTAACAGCGCCAGCTGTTACGCCTTCATCGGTAAAGTTTTTTGTTCGGGTGTGGCCAATTGTCCTTCGGTAGAGCCTACCCCGGCTTGTGTGATCTGGGTTTTTACGTGCCGCTGCGGTCGTGACGGGCGTAAGTCAGGCCGGTTAGCCCCGGCTGACACGAGCCTATTCAGATCGTCATGAAACAGAGCGCGCTGGCACGAACCCGCTGCAGCGTGAGGCTCATTCCGCTCTCTCACATTGAGAACAATCTCCATTGTTGTCGTGGTTCATCACGAAGTTAAATGAGAAGCGGGCTACGGAGGTTGGACGCGTCCCTTCTTTTGCGCGGCCCTGAAAATTGCAGAGCATGCGTGTGTCGCCGGCCAGCTGTTGGCTAAAAGTCTTGTTTCGAGCGAGTGATCTTCAGGTAGCAGCAGCTAGCAACCCGATCATTTTGGGTGAAGGCTAGACAAGAAAACTTATTTTTTTGCCATCCACGGCGTAATTAATTTGTTCGTATCGCACCATGAAGCTAACAGAGACTTAAAAATCCTTAAAAAAATAACTACCAGTGATTCTGGGTACTGCATCGTCACATAAGTGCCATCCATAGACCCTACATTTTCTCCTTGCGGAAATCTTCGAAGCGCCGCGTTAGCGGCAGAACCGTTCTCAAAACTCGAGCGGGATTGTTGCCTGACCTGCCCCGGCCGCGGCCGCAGCGGAGAGTCAGGCGCGGCGCCGTGCCGCTGGGGGGGGGGGGGGGGCGCCGGCGGATGCACGGCGAGGCTATCGCCCCCTCCCGGCCTGCGCCTCCTTTCTAAGCCACGCCGGCGAAGGCCGCCCATGGGCCGGGGTGCCTCCTGGTCTGCTGGCTGCGCCGCCGCCG